CACACACACACACACACACACACACACAGAGACACACACACACAGAAACACACACACACACACAGAGACACACACAAAACACACAAATCCCTCAAACACAAACAAAACACACACACCCCTCAAACACACACACACACACACACAAAACACACACACCCCTCAAACACAAACACACACAAAACACACACACCCCTCAAACACACACACAAAACACACACACCCCTCAAACACACACACACACACACAAAACACACACACCCCTTAAACACAAATACACGTTGTCTCTTTCTCTCACTGTCATATGACATGCGATTCATGCTGAATTATGTTTCTGTACAAACTACATTTCACTGATCTGCATACAGTATTTACAGTAACTCCGAGTGTCGAGTTCTCTGTCAGAAGCCCAATAAACAGAAATATCATCATGAGTTCAGGAAGCTTCGTTCATGTGCAACACATTAGCAGAAAACAAGAATTCTTATATACATTTGTATATTTATTCATTTTAAATTTAAAATTAAAAATGTATTTTAAAACAGTAAGGCCTGGTTTCACAGACAGGGGTTAGACTAAACCAGGATTAGGCCTTAGCTCAATTACGACATTTAAGTCATTTTTATTAACGTGCCGTAGGGGAAAAAAAAGCATTACTGGTGTGCATCTCGAGACAAAACAAAGGCACCGATATATTTTAAGATCAGTCAGTGCGAGTTTCTTTTAGCTGAAACAGCTCAGAATTATTTTAGTCGGGAACTAAGCTTAAGCCTCGTCTGTGAAACCCAGGGTGAATAAATGCTCATTGTATTTAAGCTGTTAAAACACTATGAACTGCATCAAATGGTAACTTTAATACATACGTGTCCCTGCAGCACAGAAGCAGTGTTGAGTCGCTGGGGGATATTTGTAGCAATAGAACACACCCCTCAAACACACACACACACACACAAAACACACACACCCCTTAAACACAAATACACGTTGTCTCTTTCTCTCACTGTCATATGACATGCGATTCATGCTGAATTATGTTTCTGTACAAACTACATTTCACTGATCTGCATACAGTATTTACAGTAACTCCGAGTGTCGAGTTCTCTGTCAGAAGCCCAATAAACAGAAATATCATCATGAGTTCAGGAAGCTTCGTTCATGTGCAACACATTAGCAGAAAACAAGAATTCTTATATACATTTGTATATTTATTCATTTTAAATTTAAAATTAAAAATGTATTTTAAAACAGTAAGGCCTGGTTTCACAGACAGGGGTTAGACTAAACCAGGATTAGGCCTTAGCTCAATTACGACATTTAAGTCATTTTTATTAACGTGCCGTAGGGGAAAAAAAAGCATTACTGGTGTGCATCTCGAGACAAAACAAAGGCACCGATATATTTTAAGATCAGTCAGTGCGAGTTTCTTTTAGCTGAAACAGCTCAGAATTATTTTAGTCGGGAACTAAGCTTAAGCCTCGTCTGTGAAACCCAGGGTGAATAAATGCTCATTGTATTTAAGCTGTTAAAACACTATGAACTGCATCAAATGGTAACTTTAATACATACGTGTCCCTGCAGCACAGAAGCAGTGTTGAGTCGCTGGGGGATATTTGTAGCAATAGACAACAATACATTGTATGGCTCACAATTATACATTTCTCTTTTATGCCAAAAATCATTAGGATATTAAGTAAAGATCATGTTCCATGAAGATATTTTGTAAATCTCCTACCGTAAATATATCAAAACTTTATGTTTGATTAGTAATATGCATTGCTAAGAACTTCATTTGAACAACTTTAAAGATGATTTTCTCAATATTTAGATTTTTTTGCACCCTCAGATTCCAGATTTTCAAATATTGTCCGATCCTAACAAACCATACATCAATGGAGAGCTTATTTATTCATCTTTCAGATGATGCATACATCTCAGTTTCAGAAAATTGACTCTTATGACTGGTTTAGTGCTCCAGGATCACAGATAGTATTCGATATACACGAAATGATGGTAACATGGTGAATGTAAGTAAGCACCCCCGATATGATGTCTGTTATATCATATATATATATATCGCCATGGTACCTCCTGCGTGAAATACGTCATCGGGGACGCACAGACGTCACTCTCGGCGCTGGCCCTGACCTGACGCCCGGCGCTGACGTCAGATGAGTGACGCTTAAATGCGGGATGCACGCGAGAGCCCGGAGTCAGCGCGCGCACTCACGAGGAGACGCTCTTGATGCTCTGGTGTAAGTTTCGAGAGCAGGTAAAGTACACTATCCGAATATTAATAACATGAGAGATTTATTAAGAATTTGTTATCATTTTAAATGAGTGGCTAAACCAGTCATAAGTGTACATTTGATGATTTATGCATAATCTGAAAGCTGAATAATATTCTTTCCATTGATGTATGGTTTGTTAGGATCGGACAATATTTGAAAATCTGGAATCTGAGGGTGCAAAAAAATCTAAATATTGAGAAAATCATCTTTAAAGTTGTTCAAATGAAGTTCTTAGCAATGCATATTACTAATCAAAACGCTGGGATACGCGGTGGACGACTGCTATCTGGGCGTGGCCTTCCAGGACCTCCCCAAAGGGGCGGAGCTTTTCCCTGCGGTCAGCTGCGTTTGGGGAGGAGCTCAAATCTGCATACGCTACCTGTGTGGCACGACACGTGAGTGTGACATCATCACATGTCCGACACCATGATGTCACATCACAAAAAAAATTATTTGATCATATTTGAGAAATGATTACAAATAATTAAAAACAGTGAAGCAACACTAGTGTGTGAGGTTAATACTCAGTTTAACATCAAGCTTACTGAACTTAAATCCACAAGTAAAAATCATTATCATGCCGAAGTTTTTAGTGTTTTATATCATGTGTGCTGGAAGCACAGACCAACTTTAAAGATGATACCATTTTTCTGTACGTTTCGAATACTCCGTCATTAAGCTCATCACGCTTCTGAGGTTTTACAGTGATGTTTAATAATTAGAGCTCGGAGGAGGACAAACATACACGGCACACACAAACAACAAGATGTTTTTATCCACGCATTTTTCAGCGTTAAATGAAATATACAGTACGTGCTGTTAACATTAATGCATTAACACAATCGTTTAACATTCTGTGTGATTTGAGCATACTGTATATTTATATATAAATATCTAATCCAACACTAACTTTCCTTAAAGAGACACTAACAGAACATAAGCTAAATATACTCAAACTAATGCAGTGCATTCTGGGATAGCTTCATCAGCGCTGGTGTGTTCTGATCATCACGGACTGTGTTTCTCAGGAGACCCACCTGCTCTGGAGGCTCTGAGCCGGTTATCTGTGCGGAGGGCCCTCGCAGGGGCCGGGCCCCAAAGCTGGATCCGGTCCTTCCCGTCTGCTCTACAGCGCCTCCTGCTGGACTCACACAGCACAAACACTGCAGAGGAAGAGCAGTGACACTGCACATCACAACACAGCTTTACTTGAAGCTTTTTTCATTTGTGTTTTTCTAATTTATGTTAAAAATGCATGTGTTCAGAGTACGTATGTGTATATATACACACGTGTGTCCCTG